GACCAAAATTCTTGCTTGCATGTAATGGGAGGGGATCATAAAAACATCCAACCCCCATTCAGCTATGCAGGAACACAATATTAAATCACTCACAATAGATGGCCATCCAGAATATGGTTAAAAACCACCAATGAATAAGACTCCATCACATTCTCAGGCAACATAGTCCATTGTCAGATGTTGATGTATCAATCAGAGGTCGGGGTCCTTCAGCTTTTGAAGGGTGAAAAAATAACCCTTAGGATTAGAAATTGCCCATCCTTCACCTAAATTTGGCAATTATTATTATTATTATTATTATTATTATTATTATTTACCATATTTATACCCTGTCTTTTTCAACCCCGTGGAGGACTCAAGGTGGCTCATATATATAGGCAGTGATTCGATGCCATGCAAACATACATATTAAAATAAACAAATACATTAAAACAATCATGACAAATATATCAAGCCTCAAAACCACTTATGAAAATCACATTATCCAAAATCATTGCTTATAACCATTCCAATTTGTCATTGCACTATTCCATATTCTCTAGTGGGTTACTAACCGAACGCCTGATCCCACATCCATGTCTTTAGCCTTTTTCTGAAGGTCACGAGGGAGATGTCTAATCTAATTTCACTAGGGAGGAAGTTCCATAGCTGAGGGATCACCACGGAGAAGGCACTGTCTCTCGTCCCCACCAACCGCACCTGTGAAGGAGGTGGGACCAAGAGCAGGGCTTCCCCAAATGATCTTAACCTCCTAGCTGGCTCGTAGAGGGAAATACATTCCAACAGGTAAACTGGGCTGGAACCATTAAGGGCTTTATAGGCTAAAGCCAACACTTTGAATTGTACATAATTTGGAACTGGTCAATAACACCAGTCTCTTTCTCCCATGGGGCAGTTAACACATGATTGTGACATTCAACCATTAAGAGGGCATCATAAAAAGAACCCCAGAGACTCTTCATTTAATGTTTGGTGCCCCTAAAATACTTTGTTCAAGGACAAGCATGAAAGACAAAAGACCAGGAAACAGGGTATTTGTTTATTCATGAAGAACTCTCACTATTTAATTGAAAAACAACCTATCTAAGCGGTTTGCCATTTGGCAGCGAGCCCGAGCACAAACTCTCATATTGCTTTCAAGATTAAATGAAACCATGCTTTCTTTTAGAGAAATTAAATTATTGCTTGCGTGTGTGCGCGTGTGTGTTCCCAGATCAGATTTAGCAGAAACAAAAAGACAAATACATGATGACAAAAGGCACAACTTAAAGGCCATCTTCACTCAAATTTAGTTCAAACAAAACAAGATCCATATAGCTTTCGGAACGCACAGAAAAGCAGAACATTACATTAAAATTCTGCACACTCTGTTATCTGCCAATTTGCCTTTGGTATCCACCTAAATATTTGCATTTATGTCTAAACTACTCTGTACCTGTCCCTTTGCAAATGACAAAATATTTCATTAAATAGCTGGGGAGGGGAGCGTCTGCTATCACACAAAATTTAGAGCTACGGAGAAAAGCACTGCCAGTGCCTTCCTCTTTTTTGCTACTGTTTTACAAACCTGGCAATCACGTTTGGGCTTTTTTCCAGGGCAAAAGGGTAGAGTACATCTTAGCGAAGGTTGCAAAGAAGTACCATTTTCCTATAAAAAGTTTGGTTTGCACTGCTGGCACCATAGCATGCTTCTATGCAGGAACATAATTCCTCTGTCCATTTTAACCTCTCCAGAGCATTTTGTGTACTTCTTTCAAAGAGATGCCAGTTGGCACCCAACACTCACCCTTTGGCCTCACTCCCAAGTTTCAAATGGAAAGATCCTATTTCAGAATCTTTAGCTGAACCCTAAAATGAGTCTAAGAAAACAAAAGCAAAACCACACTCTATTCTGTGTAAATGATTCTTTCCTTTTAAGAGGTTAGTAAAATGTAATCTACATTGCATTATATAGTCAGTGCATACCAGGCATGGGCAAACTTCAGCGATCCAGGTGTTTTGGACTCCAACTCCCATAATTCCTAACAGTCTCAGGCCCTTTCCTTTTCCCCCTCTGCTGCAAGAATTGTGGGAATTGAAGTCCAAAACACCTGATTAAAAAGGAACTTGGGCAATCGGTTAAACCACAAACAAACTGGACATTATTTGAAGACTATATAAAAAGGAAATATAAGGATATATAATCGGAATTTATTTACAAACAAGCAATATAGAAGTAGACAACTATTTACTGGGATGACCGTATGAGCAACAAAGCTGAAACACGTGCAGAAGCTGAAGGAAGTCGCCGAATTTTTATTTATTTATTTATTTATTTATTTTCATCTTTTTTTCATCTTTTTTTCTTTTTTCTTTTTTTCCCTTTTTTTACTTACCATTTTTCATTTTTCACATTTTTCTTTTTTCTGTTTTTCTTATGGTTTATATGTGTTTGACATAGTTTGACATAGTTTTAGATATTTTTCTTTATTTCTCTATTTTTCCTACTTTCCTATAAACACTATGTTCCCCCTCTTTACTTGGATTATACTCATATTTTATCTTAATAAAATCATTTTGAACCTAAAAAAAAAGAAGAAGTCCAAAACACCTGGAGGGCTGAAGTTCGCCGACGCCTGGTGTAGATTCATATAATGCAGTCCAATGCAATTAAAGTGCATTATATGAGTCTAAACTGACCAGTTTCAAACTGTATTATATGGCAGTGTAGATGAAGCCATACACAACATTTTCCATTATTTCCCTGCAGTTCAAGAGAACACTTGCCTATTCCGGAGACTTTTGAGTTTTGTGGGGGTACGGGTACCTGAAATATTAAAAATTAACTAGGTATCTTTAATTACAAAAATGTGAGTCAGACACTGAAAGGGTTAAAAGGATGCAATGACTCAGCAAAAGCTGCAGTTCAATATAAGCAGGTAAGCCTGTAGCTTAGTAGGCTTCAGTGGGAGGGAGGCCTCAGTCTGAGAGAGGCTTCACTGTGAGAGAGGCCTCAGTGTGAGATAAGCCTCAGCGGTGGTAGTCCTTAGAGTTAGAAGGCCTCAGTATGAGTAGGTCTGAGTATGAGAAAGCCTCAGTGTTAGTACGCCCTCAGTGTGAGAAGGCTTGGTGAGAGACGCTTTGGTGAGTGAAGGCCCAGGTTGAAGGCCTCATGTGTAAACTACTGTGTGAAGCTCCTGCGTAAGTTCAGTGTGAGGGGAGGCTCTGTGAGAGTGAAGCTGTTTATCTGCATGAGAAAGAAGCCCAGTGTGGAAACAAAGAAGGAAGTATAAAGAACTTTATTTGTGTTATGAAAACCCTGTTCTTGTAAATAGTGCAACCATATTATTTTACTACAAAGAAAAACCTCCTAAGCTAGATATAACAATGGTCTATGTGGTTTTTAAATCACTTTTGGCTACTGGTGCTGGGTCACACAGGATTGTCACCTTGTTGTGGTGAGGGGGCTTGTGTCTTCCAATGAACCTGCAGGCGTAACCACTGGAGTCTACACTCCCAGGAGTGGCCGCAGGGGAGGTTTCAGACAAAGCACAAGATGAAGACCTGGAGGCCTCAACAGCGGATCAGGCAGAGAATAACATGGTACAACAGTTGTGAAGGTAGAAGAAGGCTGCAACATATTGAGAAGCCACTGTCATTGTGTTAACCATGCCACTGGTTGTGACCTCACTCTGTGAAAAACCTCACGCACAGGCGCCGTTGCTGCTAATAAGTTACTCTGCTATACATTTATGGAGAGAGTCTTTTGTCAATAAGCCCACTCATCCAACAAAGGGAAGGAAATTCATTGGTAAAAGCTGTAAGAGCACTAATTCAATACCGTCAGTAAGTTATAGAAATACATATATGTCCGTCCCTCCCTTAACATCATAATGATATGCCCTCAACATACTCCATCATAAAAGCAATCCAATTACTGAGTTTTACTTCAATGTTTTGTATTCAAGGTAGGAAAAAATCTTATCAATTACAGCCATATTGCTAAAAGACACACATACATCTACATTCTTTAATTCAGGGCAAATTACAGAAGTTTCAAATAGTTAATTCAGGGCTCCCACTCAATTCCTATTATTGAAGTAATGGAGCAACAACATTTTTTCCAGTACTGAGCAATTAGCATTCTTGCTTATATTATCATACTGTCACCAATTTGTACAATTATGTTGCTTTTCTGGAGTAATGATGCCTATGGGAAGAAGGTATTTTTTCCAGCTCCATGTGACTATATAAACCTGGTGTGCATCTGCACTGTAGAATTAATGCAGTTTGACACCACTTGAACTGCCATGGATCAATGCTATGTAATCCTGGGAGTTGTCATTTGGTGATGCACCACCACTCTGGCAGAGAAGGTTAAAGTCCTTGGGAAACTACAACTCCCAGGATTCTATAGGATTGAGCCATGGCAGTTCAAGTGATTTCAAGCTGTATTTATTCTACAGTGTAGATCAGGCACGGGCAAACTGTGGTCCTCCAGGTGTTTTGGACTTCAACTCCCCCAATTCCTAACAGCCTACCGGCTGTTAGGAATTGAGGGAGTTGAAGTCCAAAACACCTGGAGGGCCAAAGTGTGCCCATGCCTGGTGTAAATGCATTCTAATTAAATAGAGGATAATTGCTAGATAGGTTGTTATTCCTATATCTTATTTAGCCACCCATGACTTCTGAAATGTCAGGCCTATCTCCACAGCCATGTGGATTAGAATCATGTTGTAAAATCTGGATTAAGAAAGCAGGATTCTGTATGCAGAACCATATTTCAAGTTTGATTCCCAACTGTGCAAACCTGACCATCGTATCTTGGCACCGCAAACACACCTTGGTTGGCCAGTTGAAGTGCATCAAAGCAGTGTAAAGATTTACCAACCCATCAAATGAAAACCTGCTAGGAATATATTTATTTCCGTTCTGACACTTCAGCCATGAACACTCATGGCTTTGTTCCCTTGCTCAGAACGCCAGTCCCTTCCAGAAGAAACAAGCAACCTGCTGCTTACCTTTTCTTAATGATGCTAGGATTTGCGGTTACCAGCTGAGTTTTGGACCCAACATCTTTGCTGTACTCACTGGTGAGGGGAGGAAGGTTGCATCTGGAAAGAACAGAAAAAATATGCATTTCAGCTTCTCTTCTTATTTTATACTAGCTGTACCCGTCACGCATTGCTGTGGCCAACCTTCCCTCCATCTTTCTCTCCTCCTTTCTTTCTTTCTCTCCTCCCTTCCTTCCCTCTTTCCTTTCTTCCTTCCCTTTTTTCTTTCATTCTTTCCTTCCTTCTGGGTGTTTGTTTGATTCACCTGCGTCTGAATGAGGGCAGATCCCTGGCACTGTGACATCTTTTGACCTTTTTACCCTTTTGCTTCTCTAGAAGATGAGATTTAGTAAGCTAGTTAGCTCCAAGACCTTTTCTATCCAGAATGTATTTATTTTACTTCAGTAAATATTTTTGAACCTTTTATTTATTTTACTTCAGTAAATATTTTGATGGCACAAGATGACTCTGCCATCATGTGCCATCCTAAGAATAGTAAGTTTTTGCTGGTTATGAAGTTTACTCCTAGTACTAAGGCAGAAAGGTATGCAGAAAGGTACAGTTATAGATATACAGAAAGGTACAGCTATAGTTACAAAATGCCTAGTTTTCATAGAGAAAGGAGAACGGATATGGACTTGACCATATATGGGAGACAAAGACAGGCTCAAGATGAGTTTTTTGTGAAAGGGTGAAAAATCGGTCATGAGACTTGCTAACTTTGCAGAAAGGAAATAGCCAAGGCTAAAATTAAGCTTGCCAGATTAACAGATGTCCCCAGCTGTATTTTGCATATCAGCATCTTGTGATGTTTCCAAAAAGAGCTTGCTTATTGAGAAACGAAACCTAAAAAGTATATGATCTAATTGCTTAACGTATATATATTATTGACAGCTCTTTTAACCAATGATTTAATCTTTGGGGCGGCCCTTAAGGCCGAACCCCTTTTGATGTATAAAATAACTCAAACCCATTGTGCTGGGTGGCTTCCCCTGGAGACACCCTGTTGTGTCGGAAGCCATCCTAGCAGCTGCTTGCTAAATAAACTCTGATTTCTTCTGAACCCAGTTGGCTGTTTTCCTGACTCATCTGCGCCTGCAAATCGGACTCAACTTGAGCAGTTTGGCAAAGCCCTTGGGCAATTGCTCAAGGGAAGAAAAGCCTGCTTCATTTTTGGAGGTTCCACCGAGATTTATTCAGACAGGCCGAGAGTCCGGGGAGACAGATCTTGTTGGCAAGACGATTTTTGATCAGCATCGGGGGCGCGAGAGGCGATTGCCGTGAGCCGAGACAAAGGGGGCCCCCGACTGATAACCGGCTGCGACACTCCCCTCTTCTGTCGGTGCCGCTTGATCAAGGAAAATCGCAACTCTTCGGGTTCTTAAGAAATCAACTGGGAGTGGAGAAGTGGTAAAAAGGATCCAGGAGGAGGAAAGTCCGGGAGGCGAAGGTTGTTCCGACGTCTGCAGAGGCCCGGCAAGTATAAAGTGGTCAAGTAAGACACTAGGTAACACACACCAGCGCGCTGGGGGGGGGAAGGGGGACCACTAAGTATCCCGTGGGGTAGTGGGAGGACGGGGCGAACCTTGCGGTTCCTAAAACGTGCCGTTGAGTGTCCGGGCGTCTAGGCCAAGGTTTGCTCCCCACTAGAGGCCATGGGTGGGAGAAACTCAAAGGCAGTGACTCCGCTTCAGTGTATGCTAGACAACTTTGACAAGTTTGTAGCTGCATCGAGTCAGGGAGATCCAGGAGATTTTAAGGACTACAGATTAAGGAATCTGTGCACAGGAGAATGGCCCACCTTTCCTTTTGGGTGGCCTGCAGAAGGGTCGTGGGACCTAAAGAAGATTAGGCAGGTAGAAAAATTTTGTGCTAACTATCATCCAGATCAATATATTTATATTGATGCCTGGGACAACGTGGTGACCCAAAATCCTGATTGGGTCCAGAAGTGTAAAGAAGGTCAGTGTATGATGATAAGGAAGAAAGGAAGGAAAGTCAAGGTTAAAGTCCTTGCCCAGGAAGAAGAGCCGGTGGAGGAATGTAGTTACCGGGGGCAGCGATATGCAACTCCCAACGAGCCCCCGCTAGCAGTGGCTCAAGGCGCCCAGGGGCCCGTGGACCAGGGACGGACATTACCATTGCCGGTAATTCCCAATGCGCCCCCACTAGCAACAGTTCAAGGCGCCCAGAGACCAGTTGACCAGGAACGGGCAATAACACCGCCTCCATCATATGACAGCCCAGTGTCCATAGTTCTACAGCCTCCATACAGTGAAACCAATCCCTTCCGAAACCTCCGGGATGAATTAAGGGTTGCGGACACCACCACACCAACGGTGCGACGTCCCGCCCGAGAACCTAGTGATGCAAGCCCAGCCGTTACTAGAAGCCGGCAAGCTGAGCTCTCCCCTGTGGAAGGTCCGGCAGATAGTACAACGGCGAGAGAATTTCCAATAAGAGAAGTTAGTGTATTGGATCAAAATGACCAGCCCTATCAATTATATCAGGTGGTCCCATTTACCAGCAGTGACTTGCTGAATTGGAAGAGTTCTACACCTCCCTACTCCGAGCAACCCCAAGCGATGGCGACTTTATTAGAAACTATTATAGCTACCCATAATCCAACGTGGCGAGATTGCCAACAGCTCCTCCAGGTCTTGTTTACCACAGAGGAGAGAAGGCAGGTGATCAACCAGGCTACGTTACTGGCGCAGAATCAGCCGCCAGCGGGTCAGGATGCGGTTGCTTGGGGGGCGCAGCGCTTCCCAGTTGGAGGAGATCTGGGCTGGAAGGCCAACATTGAAAACGATAGGACGACCCTGAAGACCTATCAGGGGATCCTGATAGATGCCGTTAAAAAGGGACCACCGAGGCCAGCTAACATCCAAAGGATCCAAGGGGTGAGGCAGGAGAAGAGTGAATCTCCCTCAGCATTTCTGGAGAGGCTGGAAGAGGCATACAGGAAATACAGCCCATATAATTTAGAAGATGAAAATGGGAGAAGGGCACTGCAGCAGTCTTTCATCAGCCAGGCAGCAGATGACATCCGAAGAAAAATTCAAAAGCAACCGGGATTCATAGGGAAAAGTATGAATGAACTCCTAGCCATAGCAGATCAGGTATATATGGCCAGAGATCAGAAAGAGGAAGAGAAGAAGAAGAAAGATCGTAAGGAAGGATATAAAGTATTGTTGACCATGATGGATGGACAGACGGAAGGATCAAGAGGCAGAGGAAGGGGAAAAGGAGGAGAGCGAAAGAAGTTAGGATGGAATCAATGCGCCAAATGCAAGAAGTATGGGCACTGGAAGGGGGAATGTACAGAGAAGGTGTCAGGAGAAGAAGGAGGCGAAGGACGAGGCAGAGGAAGAGGTAGAGGACGTGGAAGAGGCCGTGGAGGCTATACCCCGCACCAGAAGAGGGAAGCAGTAGTGGCTGCAATAGCAGAAGAATGGGAGGATGCGGAGGAAGAGGAATGAACCGACCAGGCTCTCGTTTTGCTGGACCCCAGGGAGCCGATGGTCACTATAGAAGTAGGGGACCAGCAAGTTGACTTTTTAGTGGACACTGGGGCAGAACGATCAGTGGTGAACAAACTTATTGGTCCTACCAGCGCAGAAGTCACCAAAGTGGTGGGGCTGTCAGGAAAAATTCAGAAATGCCCTTTTCTACAGGAACGGACATGTAATCTAGCAGGCCATAATGTGAGTCATAAGTTACTATATCACCCTGATTGCCCAGTGTCATTATTAGGAAGAGACATTTTGTCAAAATTAAGAGCACAAATTCAATTCTTAGACAATGGCCAAATGGAATTGACAATACCCATGGAAGAGGAATGGAGGATGTACTTGGTACAACAGAAGTCTGCCCCGCGGCCAGAAGTTGAATGGCCCTGGGAGCGGACTCCTTTGGTGTGGGCAGAAGACAATC